AAGCCCGTTTTTTAACTGACAGCTACTTGATCATGATCAACCATTCCTACATTGCAACATAAAGTAGTGGGCATCAGGAACAGACCAAAGAGAGCTTGTTGGATGTTTCTGTAACTGTGGGCCAAGCCATCATATGCTGGAAAGAGATTGCCTCTGTATGCAATAGCCCAGCTGCTTGAACATTTCACAATAAGGTGGATGGGAATTTTGTTTAACGCCATGTTCAATATCATTTCATTCCTCTGGATCAGTGGTTCTCAACCTTTTTAATGCCGCGACCCCAACCGGTAGTACGTCGAGGACTAAACCAGTCGTAAGTCGAGGACTAAACCAGTCATAAGTAGAAGACTACCCAACCGGTCGTAAGTCAAGGACTTTCCCTGCCCAGGAGCGCCGCACATGCGTGGTTCCGCCCCCTGCGCCGGCCGAGGCGTGGCTGGCAAGCGGCAGAGACGGAGCAGGCCGACCACCAGCTGGCCCAGCCCAAGGGAGGTAAGGCACCCGCCGGAAAAGGGGAAAAAAATGGCGGACAGCCTTGCTTGGCGACCCCCGTGAAATGGTCGATTGACCCCAAATGGGGTCCCGACCCACAGGTTGAGAACCACTGCTCTGGATCAATATTGCAAACTGAAATCGTGTTGGATCCATTAGCCTTTTCATCAAACATTAATGGGCATCTTTATCTTTGAAAATAGATAAGTGAAGAGGGGAATTCCATAATCAAAGGCTAGAAGGTTAGAAGTTCTTTTTCTCTAACCCAGACTGGAGTTATTTTGATGGTTCTTGTTGGGGTGAAGTGATTCTATTCATGGTCAAACTGGTGTAATATATACAGTAGTTGGCTCTCTATTCATAGCTTACACTGGGAACAAATTCCCTCCGGTAGGTAATGATGATAAAATACATACTGCCTCCATATTTATTTGTTCTACTAATTAGCAAGGAAACAAAGAGAGAATTCGATAGTAAACTAAATGCAAATCAACTCAATGACACTAAACGTACAACTCCTAAGACAAGAGAAATGCTAAAGCAATTTTTTTAAAGCCTGCATTTAACCATGCTTGGAATCTGTCTCAGCAGCGTTTAATAAAACTAATGAAATTAGAAACTGAAAGCATTTAATGGCAAATTATTGATAAGAGGATGGGAGTATGCAAAACAGCTTAATGAAACATTCAATAATTAATCTGCTGTAGTTGAAGCAGTGAGCAATATATAGCTATTAGCATGTCTTTTTTCCCCCTACATAATAGGGGCAATTAAAGACAATGGAGTGTATCAAGCCCATCCTTGCAAAGTAGCTCCCAGGATGAGGGTTTGGGGCTTCTGCTTATACTGTCTGGATCAGGTTGTATCACATTCCTTTGGCTACAATACAGATGAAGATGTCAACAGAGAAACAATGAATTCTAGGAAATAGCAGGTTAGAAGCATTTCCATTGCTCCTACAAGACACTCATTGTAAGTGTCAGTGAGTCTCTCCTAGTTAAGCCTGCCTCTCAGGGATGCTGTGTCTTAAAACAAAATAAGAGCAACAAAGATGATTAGTGGACTGGAGGCTAAAACATATAAGGAACGGTTGCTGGAATTGGGTATCTCTAGTCTAATGAAGAGAAGGACGAGGGGGGACATGATAGCAGTGTTCCAATATCTCAGGGGCTGCCACCAAGAAGAGGGAGTCAAGCTATTCTCCAAAGCGCCTGAAGGCAGGACAAGAAGCAACGGGTGGAAACTGATCAAGGAGAGAAGCAACCTAGAACTAAGGAGAAACTTCCTGACAGTTAGAACAATTAACCAATGGAACAACCTGCCTCCAGAAGCGGTGAATGCTCCAACACTTGAAGTTTTAAAGAAGAGACTGGACAGCCATTTGTCCGAAATGGTATAGGGTTTCCTCCCTGAGCAGGGGGTTGGACTTGATGACCTCCAAGGTCCCTTCCAACTTCATCATCATCATCATCATCATCATCATCATCATCATCATTAACCTAGTTTTGGAAGGAAATGCAGTGGCGCAGCAGCTTAAGGATGCTGCTGAGTAGAAATGGCCTAAACCACTCAAACTCTGGTGGTTCGAGTACATAACACCGCAGGATGGGATGAGCTCCCGTCACTCGTCTCTAGTTCTTACCCTGCACGCCCAGCAGTTCAAAAGCATTATTACGAGTAGATAAATGGGTACCACTCTGGGAGAAAGGCTAGCTATGAAAACAGGAGGTGCAAAACCGAATGAACTAGCAATTAGGCTGTCAGGACTACTCTGTAAAGCAGAGGTCCTCAACCTTTTGGGCATCAGGGACCGGTTATGTGGAGAAAGGTTTTTCCGTGGACCGAAGGGGGTGTAGTTTTGTGTGCTGCCTGCATCCTGTGGATGGGGTTTTCCTTCTTTGTGCGGCCCGTTTGCTGGCATGCCGCGGCCCGGTACTGGTCCACGGACCGGGGGTTGGGGACCCCTGCTGTAAAGTGTACAAATGTGTACCATATGAAATAAACAGATAAACCTAACTCTTGCAAGAAACTGGAAATATAAAGGCAGTAATGAATGATAAAATATTTGAAGCTGGACATATTTTAAATTTTAAAGAAATATACGGGTATGCAATTCTTCCATATTTAAATATACCAAGCAATTTTTCCTTAATTGAAAAAAAAACCCCTTGTAATTGACAATCAAAGAAAGTATTCTGAAAACACCATAATTACACAGTAATTCCAACTTATCACATATTTTATGTCAGACACACTGGCACTGAGTATGCAGTATCTTTTCAGAAACTAAATAATATGATTGACATGTTAGTTAAAGTTTACAGCTTAAGGCCAACCTAACACAGTCAGCTGAAAAATAACAGTAGGGGAGAGAGGTTGAAGAAATATTAAAATTAAAATACATTTTAAAATTATGCAGAGGATAAAGCACAGAAAACAAAACCAAGATACTGTTATGTTAAAACCATCAGACTGTATTCTGGTTAATTCTGAATAGTAGTTCTGTAAATGTAGGATTTTTTTTCTTACTGGAATTCTAAACAAGTAATATAGCTACTCAATAGTAACTTAATGGCTTAACCTCTTACAATCTTGTCTTACAAAGTGGGGACATGCAGTATACTTTACATACAGTATAACACATCTTGCATAGAAAAATGTTTTTGTACGTCAAATTTGAACATTTAGTTCAAATTTAGTTCAAACTTTTAATTCAGCCTGGCAAATGCAGATTTAAAACTGACTTTGGTATTTGCAAACATGTGCTTTGTTACTTACTCCTGATTTTTTTTGGGGGGGGGGGGTACTTTTGAAATAATAATTTAAACTGCAAGTCACCGTGTTGAAACAAGAGATTGCCACAGCTTAAAGCAGGACTAACGATGGCAAAAGAGGAGAGAGATTTTGGCAAACTTCATTTTGAAATAATACAATTAACATGTAATGTTATCTACTAGCACAGTGGTGGCGAACCTATGGCACGGGTGCCAGAGGCGGCACTCAGAGCCCTCTCTGTGGGCACGCGCTCCATCGCCCCAGTCCTAGGCCTTCATCTGGGTTTTATAAAACCTTTTTGCTTTAGGCCTCCACCGTCGTGTGCAAAAAAAAAAAAAAGTTCAATCAATCAGTCAATTTCAACTTCTCGCAGGGAAAAAAAAGATCTTGCAAAGTTGGAAGTGATTGATTGAACTTTTTAGTCCCACCCAGTCTGCCGTTACCACGGCAGCCACACCCAGCCAATGGGCCACACCCACCCGGCACCCGACGATGCATAAGTGGGTTTTGGGTTGCAGTTTGGGCACTCGGTCTCTAAAAGGTTCGCCATCACTGTACTAGCATATAACATTAAGATATGGTTCATGCTAAGAAAGTAAAACATGATCTGAAAACCAATTGTTTGATGAAATTCAATACACAGCACTAAAAGTGGGCAGCTATTTTAGTGCTTCATTAGGAACAGGGACACAAAGTTGTACCACCAAGAATCACCGATTTGCTGTAATGTTTCAGTGGCATAATATTGGGATATTTCAGGGGCTGTAAGAAAGGAACTGAGAGTCATATCCATTTGAATGATATTGAAGGCATCTGCATTCAAAGGAGCAATGGATAAAATGCAAGCTAATTCTGCCGACTGCCAGCAGTTCAATTCTCACCGGCTTGAAGGCTGACTCAGACTTTCATCCTTCCGAGGTCAGTAAACTGAGGACCCAGATCGTTGGGGGCAATGTGCTGACTCTGTAAACTGCTTAGAGAGGGCTGTAAAGTACTGCGAAGCGGTATATAAAGTCTAAGTGCTATTGCTATCACTATTCAGACACAAGGGGCTATCTCAGTGATGGCGAACCTTTTAGAGACCGAGTGCCCAAACTGTAACCCAAAACCCACTTATTTATCGCCGGGTGCCGGGTGGGCGTGGCCCACTGGGTGTGTGTGGGTGTGGTAGTCATGGCAGATTGGGTAGGTGTGGCCAAGGTGGGCGTGATCACCTCAATGTTGCTCGTGGGGAGGGACGCCTGTGGGGGCCGGGCAGAGTTGGGGGAGATCCAGGGGGTCTCTGGCAGGTGGGGCAGTGGGCAGGAGGCTCGTCCTGCGGGGTGAGGCGAGGCAGGGCGGGGGTGCTATTGTCACAGGGCAAGGTGAGGCAGGGACCGGGGTGGCTGCAGCCTGACACCATCGGCCCTGCACACAGAGACCAGCGAGCGCATGGGTGCTGGGATGCATCCAGCCATGTGGGACCTCGGCGAGTTAGCGGGCGGCTGGTTGAAGAGGGATGGTTGCCATCTCCGGGGCATGGCGAGAGTGCCCACAGAGAGGGCTCTGAGTGCCGCCTCTGGCATGCGTGCCATAGGTTCGCCACCCCTGGGCTATCTCCTAATTTGCAAATCTTACTTTATAGAACGCCCTTCATTTCAGCCATCAAATCAATAGAATCTCCATGTGCAATTTGCTTTAGTTAAAGGCAAAACCTGGTGGCAAAGAAATGTCATAGACTGCTGTTTACTTACTGTTTACATAGACATTAAATGTTATAGAGGAATTGGCGTCTGAGTTGGAGACAAAAAATGTATAAAGACCTCCTTCTATTTCCTTTAGCCGTGTAAGGTGAAGCTCACTGGAATAGCTACAGGAGGAATAAAACAGCAACTTTCATTATTCACTTCATGGCAGGCAGTCTAGGTGCATTTTATAATATACTGCTAAAATTAAACAGACAGCTTATGCATGGGTTTATACAATCCGGTGCAGTGAGAACTGTGATTTTTTTTTTCTATTTAGTCCCTTTGAATCATTTCAGTTTGCTGCATGGGAAGCTGTCTGAAAGCTCCTAAATTAATATATTTATACATTTTAAAAAGTCAATGTGCTTTTACAATTTGCATAGTTCACGTACACATTTTAGAGAAAATTAAGATTTAAGAAACTATATGAGTTCAAGTTGTATTCAGAGTACTCAGCGTGAATTGGTTCCGGGAGGTGCAATGAGTACCAAAAACAATGAGTACCAGACAAATTTTTCACATAAGGAATAATGTAGTGCAGGGGTCTTCAAACTTGTCAACTTTAAGACTTGTAGACTTCAACTCCCAGAATTCCTCAGCCAGCCAGGAATGGCTGAGGAATTAATAATAATAACAATAAAGTTGGAAGGGACCTTGGAGGTCATCAAGTCCAACCCCCTGCTCAGGCAGGTAACCCTATACCATTTTGGACAAATGGCTGTCCAGTTTCTTCTTAAAAACCTCCAGCGTTGGAGCATTCACCGCTTCTGGAGGCAGGTTGTTCCACTGGTTAATTGTTCTAACTGTCTAACTGTTAATTGTTCTAACTTCAATTCTGGGAGTTGAAGTCCACAAGTCTTAAAGTTGCCACGTTTGAAGAGCCCTGATGTAGTGAGTCACAAGGCAGCCAACAACGACAAGATCTAGCTTGTGCATCGAGTACCAAACAAACGATGAGTACTGGGGCAAACTTTTGAGTTGAAGTCCACAAGTCTTAAAGTTGCCAAGTTTGAAGGCCCCTGCACTACATTATTCCTTATGTGAAAAATTTGTTTGGTACTCATTGTTTTTGGTACTCGTTGCACCTCCCGGAACCAATTCACGCTGAGTACTCTGAATACAACCAAATTGTACCACTGTATTTCTCAATTTGTTTTACAAACTCCTAGAGGTAAAGCCAGACAGGTTGCCACCAATGAAAATGAGCTTGCCCCACCGTTTCAAAATAAATGCTGCAGAATTGACCTCGGATTGTTTCCTCTGGAACAAAGGTTGAGGAGATGTGCAACATTTTTCTGAACACACAACACCGTAGGATCGTATCTGTGTATGTCACTGAATCTCTGGTTGCTGCTCCCCCCCCCCACATGCAGAATAGGCTTTACTTGACTGGCAAAAAAGCTTCTCCGGACACTGAATATCCTTGAATGAAGGAAAATGGAAACAAATTTTGAAGCTATTTCTTCTTACTTAGCAAAACTAAGCACTATTATTTGCTATTTGGAAAAAGCACCCAACCCACAGCCAAAAGTGGCAATATCACAGTTAATTTTATCTCACATAAGCGACTGGCAACAGTGGTTGAGCACCAATTTTACCAAAATGATCCATCTGTGGCCCCCCCAAAAAACCATTTAGATCCAACACTCTTTATAAACACAGGACAAAGTGAAAATAACCTAGAGCAGTGATGGCGAACCTTTTAGAGACCCAGTGCCCAAACCGCAGCCCAAAACCCACTTACTGTATTTATCGCAATGTGCCAGGGATGCATCAGCATTGTGGTGCCCTCGGGGGGCATGGCCCACGGGGTGGGCGTGGCTGCAGTGGTCACGGCAGACTGAGTAGGCATGGCCGGGGTCAGCATGGCCACCTTGATGTTGCTCGTGGGGGGGATGCCTGTGGGAGATCCTGGGGGTCTCTGGTGGGTGGGGTAGTGGGCAGGAGGCTCATCCTGCGGGGTGAGGTGGGGGTAGGGTGGGGGTGCCATTGCTGCAGGGCAAGGCGAGGCAGGGACGGCTGCTGCCTGACACCATCGGCCCCCGCACACAGAGCCCAGCAAGCACATGGGGGCATGCTCTACCACCTCTACTCGAGCTTGCTAGCCAGCTGCTTCGCCTCCTTTGTGCTGGGTGGGGCTGCTGCTCCGGGCGCCAGCAGTGGCCTAATGGACCTACGCGAGCTGGCGGCCGCGGTGTCGGCAGGTGTGCCCACAGAGAGGGCTCTGAGTGCCGCCTCTGGCACGCGTGCCATAGGTTCGCCATCACTGACCTAGAGCTAGATACTTAGCTATTGCCCACTGTTTTGATTTCCTCCAAAGTGTCTGGGCAACTCGTCACAGCCAACCTGCCCACGGAACAACTCGTGGCGGGATAATTCAATGATGTATTAATCATTTTATTCAGTAAACTTTTTAATGGAGGCATTATTAATGCAAGGAAATGAAAAATTAGAACTAGCAAACCAAAGCTTAGAAGGAGCAGTTGCAGCTTTGGAAATGGAGAAAGCAGTACACTATCTAAGATTCCAAAATCTACCTGAAGATAAACAAGAAGATATAGCAGAAGTGATTAATTTACTGGCGGAGGCCTTAAAAACAGAACGCAGGCTACTTCTGCTGACTCCCGGCTGCCTGCAGTTCAGCAGTTCGAGTCTCACTGGCTCAAGGTTGACTCAGCCTTCCATCCTTCCAAATTGGGTAAAATGAGGACCCAGATCGTTGGGGGCAAGAGGCTGACTCTGTAAACAGGCTGTAAAGCACTGTGAAGCAGTGCTAAGTGCTATTGCTATTTCCGGATTGACTTTCTTTATTTTATTACTAGCTGTACCCAGCCACGCGTTGCTGTGGCTCAGTCTGGTAAAAGCGTGTGTTGCTTTTACGTCCAGCAGATGGCGCTGTTTTTCAAAAAAAGCATGTTTTTACCTGTCACAGGTGTGACATCTATATAATATAGGTATATAAAAACACACGCGTATTCGAATGCAACGTTGTGTCAAAATTTCAAAGCAATCGGTGAAGAACTTTCGGAGATTTAAGATTTTGAACAAACGAACATTTACATTTTTATTTATATAGATTATTGGGTCATGGTTCCGTTGAAATTAATTTAACTTTTGTATTTGTTGAATTGTCCTGCAGTAAGATGTTCTCGCAGTGAGTTGGGCATGATGAGTTGTACCACAGCAAGTTGGCTGTGGCAAATTGTCTCATTCTGCCTCCAAACTGCTGCAGGAGTTTTTTAAAAAAAACGGAGAAAATAAAATAGCAAGATAACATCCTGGCTAAGCCTCTTTTTAAACATCTGATGTCTCATAGTTTTCAGGTAAAGAGGAAGAGTGGCCAACATATCCTAGGAAAAAGAGATTCAATTAAGGAAGGGGAAGTTGGCAACCATTAGATTCCAAGAAAAGCAGGAAGATCTTTTCCAAGCCAAGTCTGTATAATGTATTCCTACAGAAAATTAACAGAACGATCTCCGTACGTTGCTACTTTGGTTCCACATCTTGCATTACCTGTTTTTGTCTATGTTTGTGACTCTCACATAATGATCAGATGAATTCTGCAGTGTTACATTCATGTATAGCCACGTTTCTTCTTCTGGTTTAGGATACGCTTCATACGTCACTACCAAGCCCAGATTTTCTCCGTCATTGACATAGAGTGTTGTATTTGTTGAAGTGGATAAACTGACATATCCTTTACCTGGTGGAAAATTTTTAAAACCTCTCTTGAGAATCTTTGTATATATTAACATTCATAAAATGCTAAAGCCAAGGTCAATGAATAAAAAAATCCAAATAAATTGCAACTTGCAGAAAAGCAAGCCTTATTAGTTAATGAGTGCTAACGACATTTTACTGAATGAAGGGAACAAAATAATGTCTCATGCTTTACACGCAGACCGTATCTTTATATACCATCTACACCTATCGGATCACCACTGATTTCCGGAGGCCATTCAAATCAATGAGTATTTATTTTTACTTTATCCCATTAATACAGCCTACTATTTGCCTGGATGGGTTCCCAACAAGGTTGGCATGAAAAAAAAAGACCAATAAACATAAAACAAAACCAGCAATAACTAATTATCAATTATAAAAATAACTTCATATTAATATCACAGAACAATCATATTAGCTCCAGAACAGCAGAAATTTTCCCAGTTTCTTAAATAACACATGTCTACAACAGATACTTCAAAACAAATGACTACAATTAATCAAGAAAATCATAGCAATTGGAACAATCACTCTGAAAGTGTCACCTTGTTTTAGCTACTAGCCTATCTTTAAGGATTTTTTTTTAACAATGATGCATCTCTTCGTATTTCTAGAAATGTGCCCATCATATTTGCCACTGTTAATGGCAAATATTGTATCTTCATCGTCAAAAAATTCTACAATATGACATCTAGATTTTATTTACTTCCTATGTAAAATAATACGTAGCATCTAAGCGGCAGAGCAAGTAGGAGAAAAAAAACACCCCTTTTTGCCAATTACAGATAAAGACATGTTCAGAATACTTCTGCTAATTACACTACATGAATATGCTCCTAATCAGTTTAGCACTTATGGTAATTTTAATATTTAAAAAGTATTACGTGTCACAGCAATCTAGCACTCTGGGGTGGCTTTTCAAGAAAGCATGTTAATAAACAGCAAAGTGTAAACATCTTTGATGGCTTCTGGCGAAGGGTGTGCAAGACACAATGGACCCAGCTTTTTAGCGAGACTCTGGAAATCAAACCTTTCACACTAAAATGGATTCTTTGGGCACAATCCAGTATGATTCAGGGAGCAGGTTTCTCTGTTCAATTACCAGATGAGGCTTTATTCCATAGGCTTGCCATTATGAAAGTATGTAAGAACCGTACTTTTTCACAGTAACCATCGTAATTTTAATAGTCCCTTCTCTCTTGTCTTCTTAAAAAATTGCTCCGCAACATTTGATACCCAAAACGTTTGCGCTCATATGACTGCAGTGTTTCTCAACTTTGGCAACTTGCAAACTGTGTAGACTTCAACTCCCAGGATTCCTCAGCCAGCAGGATCCAAAGCCTTGTCCTTTAGTCAGTACCATCTTTTTTTTTCCTCTTCCCTTTTTTCAATTCAAGATTTACATGATCTTTCTTTCTTTCTTTCTTTCTTTCTTTCTTTCTTTCTTTCTTTCTTTCTTTCTTTCTTTCTTTCTTCTTTTTTTGAGTGATCTCATGCTTTAAAGACAAGGCAGAACCTGGACAAAAGCTACTAGGGGCATGCCAAGGTCTGGATTTGAAGGGCAAAGTATCATTAGTTCTCTATGATCTGTTGAGGATTCTCAGATCAAATATATTTTCTCTTGGAGTCACATGTCCATTGCAGAAACTCAGGAAAAGGAGCAGCTATTTTCAGGCATTTATTATTGGGGCTTCAAGCAATATACCGCATGCTCCTAATCCCATTTTGCCTTTCAAATCTAATTCTCTGCACAACCTAAAAAACTGTATTTAATATAGTATTTAAGAACTTTAGAAGTATTTAAAACTTCCTAACACTCAGAACAATTAACCAGTGGAAGAGCTTGCCTTCAGAGGTTGTGGGTGCTTCATCACTAGGTTTTTAAGAGACTGGACAACCACTTATCTGAAATGTATAGGGTCACCTGGTTGAGCAGGGGGTTGGAATATAGAAGATCTCTAAGATCCATTCCTATTCTATTCTATTCTATTCTATTCTATTCTACTCCTGTTCTGTTCTATTCTATTCTATTCTATTCTATTCTATTCTATTCTACTCTACTCCTGTTCTGTTCTATTCTAATTCTGCTCTTATTCTATTCTGTTCTATTCTATTTTCTATTCTATTTTCTATTCTATTTTCTATTCTATTTCTGCTCTTGTTCTGTCCTATTCCTATTCCTATTCCATTCCATTCTATTCTTGTTCTGTTCTATTCTAATTCTGCTCTTATTCTATTCTATTCTATTCTGCTCTTGTTCTGTCCTATTCCTATTCTATTCTACTCTTGTTCTGTTCTGTTCTATTCTATTCTAATTCTGCTCTTATTCTATTCTATTCTGTTCTATTTTCTATTCTATTCTATTCTATTCTAATTTAAACATTACTAGCAAGATTTCTTTTCAGGTACTTTATATATTTTCCCTTCTAAACACATTAAAAATGTAATGACAACTTTTAAAGGAACTCAGGGCTATTTTTGACACTAAGGCAGGGTTTCTCTGATATTTTTTTTAATAATTCTGTCTCAGTTTTAAACCTACTTCTTATGTCACACAGCAACCTTCTTTTGTTGTGGAAACACAATGATATAGACATTAAGAGATACATAAACAAACACCTGGGAGAAATTTCTTGACACAACCTGTTGTTCTGACAAAGCTCACATTCATCTTAAGGTGAGTTTGAAATGAAAATATTCCTGACTGTACCCCATGACCAAATAGGTAACAGGAAACTTTCATAATTTCATAGAAGACACAGTATGTTTCTAAGATAATTACAGGTGCTCCTTTACACAATATAAATTGGATGCCAAACAGTAAACAAACCTCATGATATCTCTGTGCCTATACCAACATTTTATTGTATGTTTACAGTGTTCCCACCGAGACTGATTCTTTTTTTTTTGTAAAAGGAAAGCAGGCTTTGAACCTTCATGCTTACCAAGTCTCATACAACACTGGAGAAACTTTGGAGAACATTGGGGACCCACCATCCAGAGCCTTATTCTGCCAGCAGACTAATGGGATGCTTTTATGGATTACAATCAGGCTCTTAATGTTTGATCTGCCAAGTCTGTTTTTTGGCATATCCATGAGGCTAGCAACGACGTGATGGATTTTCACAGGGCATGAAGGTAAAGGCAACTGCCAAAAAAGTCACATCATTCCAGAAGTATTGATTAGGCATTCAAAGGGACTTTAGCTAAAGCAGTGGTTCTCAACCTTTTTAATGCTGCGACCCCCAACCGGTCGTAAGTCGAGGACTAAACCGGTCGTATGTTGAGGACTAAACCAGTTGTAAGTCAAGGACTACCCAACCGGTCGTAAGTCGAGGACTTTCCCTGCCCGGGAGCGCCGCGCATGCGTGGTTCTGCCCCCTGCGCCGGCCGAGGCGTAGCTGGCAAGCGGCAGAGACGGAGCAGGCCGACCACCAGCTGACCCAGCCCAAGGGAGGTAAGGCACCCGCCGGAAAAGGGGGAAAAAATGGCGGACAGCCTTGCTTGGCGACCCCCGTGAAATGGTCGATCGACCCCAAATGGGGTCGCGACCCATAGGTTGAGAACCGCTGAGCTAAAGGAACACCTTTTTTATAGAGGTCTATGGAGATTCTCAGTCATCCAGGTCACAATTATTCTACAGATGCTTTTTTCACGAGGCAATTGGACTTTCTTGTTTTTCTCTGAAGATGTTCCGCTTCTCATCCAAGAAGTTTCTTCAGCTCTGACTGGATGGTGGGGAATGGGAGGGTTTATATTCAGAGCTGAAGAAGCTTCTTGGATGAGAAGCGAAACGTCGTCAAAGAAAAACAAGGAAGTCCAGTTGCCTCATGGGAAAAAAGCACATTTGGGACTTCTTTATAGACTTCACATTCTCCAACTAGGTAGAGCTAGGAGCACCTCTCAGAAGATCTGCAATGAATGGGGGCATGTCGTTCCTACTTCTCCCTTTTCCATAATAACAGAGTAAGAGTTGAAAGGGACCTTGGAGGTCTTCTAGTCCAACCCCTGCTCAAGT